AGTGTGTTATCTCTCATTTCAATGGAATTTTTCAAAGTATTAAGACATGAGCTGCACCATTCTGTCTACTCAGTTCTAAATTGGCAGGAGATTCTGAAGTGTTATTGGTGCCCCTGGGTGTTTCCTGCCATTTAGTTTCAGGCTAATAAGGAAACACAGAGGTTGGCTAAACTTTGCTGTGAATACTGGAGTGTTTTGGAACACACTCAAAGACAGCTCTTCTGAGAATGCATTTTATCATACCAGGGGCTTTGTTTTCTTGGCTATTGAAAGCCTTTGTATAAGGAATCAGGATGATTTCTCATTTTTTAGCAAATCTTTCATGAAGTCTAAATTTCAATGTTTATAAAACCCTCTGTGACATCATTAAGTGGTTTCCATGATAAATAAATAATAGTCAAGGAAGGGACCAATATAAAATGGCGTATATTTTGGAAAGAAATATCTTTAAAAGTCCTTTATTTGTTTTTCTATTATTTGTGCCTTTTATTGCACTCCAAGACATCCCTATTTGTTTGTATAATCCGGAATCGGTTACTGCAGCTGAATAACGCAGATGTACTCACTTCCCTGCTGAATGCTTCCTGTTCCTTTTTCAGAAACAGACATCATCCATAGCATTTTAGCATCTTCTTGTCTTTAACTGTTGTGGCTTGCTAAATCAAAGCTACTGAATTGGAAACAAGTTCAAGATCATTTCTTTCAAGGGTTCATTCTTCCTTCTGGGCTTGAGAAACAAAACAAGCAATACCTGTGCTCATCCAAACCTTGGGCAGCGATGGTACTTTTCACCCAAAACATTTCAGGTTTCCACAATGCAGCCCAGAGTCATGTACTTGACCATGTTCCACGCCTGACTGGATAGTGCATATAACTACAAAGGAGCAGCAGGCGGTTCCTTTTAATTTTCCCATCCGTTGTCAATCTACTGCCTCCTTTTATTTCTGGGGAGACAATGTTTTGGTCTCTGTCCCCCCAATCCCAAGGAAGTTTCTATCACGCCACGCCCAGCCTGTGAGAGCCTGACCTGCTTGCTTAGCAGACAGGAAGACAGTTTGTAAAGAACCTCTAGGCATACACCTGTTCACCATAACTTTGGTTTTCAATTGTCTTATTCATTTTGTCCCATTAGCTGCAGAAAGACGAGGCCTTCTGTGCAAACTACAGATTCCTGGTGAATTCTCTGTCATTAATTTTAAAGTATGTGCTACTTTTATTTATTTATTTATTGTGTGTGGGTGTGTACATACCTTGGCACATGTGTGGAGGTCAGTTAGTTCTCTTCTCCTACCATATGGGTCCCAGGATCAAATCCAGGTCATCAGACTTGGCAGCAAGCCCCTTAGACTGAGCCATCTCCCTGGCCCATCAAGTGTTGGCAGTACACTCTCAACTCAGTAGGTACCAGTGGATTTATTTTTTGTGCTGGTAGGGATTGAACCCAGAAGGATTTTATATATGATGGTCAAGCACTTACTATTGAGCTACATCCCTCAGCAGTTCCTTCCTTCTTTCTTTCCTTCCTTCCTTCCTTCCTTCCTTCCTTCCTTCCTTCCTTCCTTCCTTCCTTCCTTGTTTTTGTTTTTTGTTGTTTCGGTTTTCAAGACAGGGTTTCTTGTATACCCTGACTGTCCTGGTACTCAGTATGTAGACCAGGCTGGCTTCGGACCCACAGAGATCGACCAGCCTCTGCCTCCCCAGTGCAGGCATTAAAGGTGTGCGCCACCGTCACCCACTGCTTTATTTCTTGACTGAATGAGAAAATGTCTGAAGCAATTCCCCATTTGCTGGCATGGGCAAGTAGCCACTGCCCTTGCAGCTAGAGAAGTGAAGGCTAAGCTGGTGCCATGGGTGGCAGAACCAGGGAAGCCAGGATGCTTTCTGTGCCCACGAACCCCCTTGGTGCCAAATCACAGTTCAGTGGCTAAACGGAAGGGGTCAAAAACACCCTGGTGGTATTTCAGAGTGTAGGGCTATGGAGTCCCTATATAATAGAGATCAGAAACAGAGACCAAACAGAGTCCATGGAAATCCTAAGTTTGGTTTGGGAAAGAGAAGCCACAAGCCAGGTCCTCCAAGTGCCTTTAGAGAAAAGAGTAGGTTGAAGAGCAGATGTATGGGTGGGTGTGCTGGATAGTTTTATGTCAACTTGACACAAGCTAAAGTCATCTGAGAGGAGGGAGCCTCAATTAAGAAAATGCCTCCATAGTATCAGCTGTAGGCAAGCCTGTAGGGCATTTTCTTAATTAGTTATTGATAGGGGAGGGCCTAACCCATGATGGGTGGTGCCATCCCTGGGTTAGTGGTCCTGAGTTCTGTAAGAAAGCAGGCTGAGAAAGCCATGAGGAACAAGCCAGTAAGCAGCACCCCTCCATGGCCTCTGCATCAGCTCCTGCCCCCAGGTTCCTGCCCTGTTTGAGGTCCTGTCCTGACTTCCTTCAATGATGACCAGCGATGTGGAAGTGTAAGCCAAATAAACCCTTTCTCCCCCAATTTGCTTTTCTTTTTGGTCATGGTGTTTCATCCCAGCAATAGCAACCATAACCAAGGCAGTGTGTCTGGGGTCCACATCTTCTGCTAGGTTCTTTGGAATTGAACTTGGTATAAAAGGTCAATCTGATCACATCCCAGTGATGGAGAAGTCAGAACGTTTTTTTCTTTCATTCTTCTTCTTCTTCTTCTTCTTCTTCTTCTTCTTCTTCTTCTTCTTCTTCTTCTTCTTCTTTTAAAGATAGTATTATTTCTTTCCGCTGAAGCTTCAAGTAAGAGGGATAATGAGTAGAAAGGAGCTACCTTCATAATCAGTGATTGTCCTGCAGGCTAGTGACAGACACTCTTGGCCCACTGTAGGGAATTTTAGGTCATATTGCTTTATAGGTAAAGAAAGAATGCTCATGAATTTCCTCTAGGATCTAGATGTCTGTAGGGAGCTTTTACCCAAACTACTTTTGTTTGTTCTTGTTGCCAACATAGTCTTATGGCAGCTATTTAGACCCGTGAAAAATCAGGCATCTACATAAAGGCTGTGGGTACTGCATGGGCTCCGCTTCCTCTGTCTCCATCCAACCCTCCTCTCCATCTTCCTTTGGGATAGTGCTCTATGCCTGACTAGATTCCTTCTTGGTTTCTGGGTCTCAGTGCCATATGCCTAGAATCTTGTGGGGATTGGATGTAGCTTTCAAAACAAAACATTGCAACGTCTGTGTGGGCTGCCATGAAAATCATGCATTCAGGATACGTTGAAAGAGATGGTGGAGGACCAGATGTCTCTTTTACTGAAGTTTCTCCCTCAACTAGAAGCCACAAGACCCACAGGTTGTTTCTGTGGGCCATCATGAACATTCAGGAGTGCCAACAGCACTAATTGTGGCTGAGTTGCCCCATGTCTGAGAAAATAGACCCTTTGTTCTGTGGTGCATGAAGGGGAGACTCCAAGTCTCCTTTTTGAGCTGGGGTGCGGGGGCAATTTGAATTTTAGAGTTTGAAATCTTGATTACATCCAAATTTTACTCTCAACTCAAGGGGCTGTTTTCTGACCCTTCCCAGCATGCTCTTCAGTAAACAAAGAGGCGTGGTGCTATGCTTTGACTGTGTCTTCTGGATTTATGACTGGGAACCCTATTTCCTCAATGTGACAGTGTTGGGATGTGGAGCCAATAAGAGGCATGGGGGTCAACAGTGGAGCCATAATGAATGGACTGATTCTGTTCTTCAAAGCTCTCAATCTCATGGAACTGGATTTGTTGCCAGGAGAACAGGTTGGATAAAGCAAGTCCACCTTCATGCTTTGCGTCCAATGCACGTGCTGTCTGCTACCAAGTCGGAGCTGCAGGGGGCCCTCTTCAGATGCAGCTGTCTGATTTCAGACTTCCCAGTCTCCAGAACCACACGCCAAAATAAACGTGCATTCTTTACAAATCATCCAATCTCATCTTCTGTTCCAGCAATGGCCTAAAGCCTAGTTGCAGCTGACCAGTGAGGTCTGCAAGAACCTTCCATAATATATGACTTTCCCCAGATCTAGAATTTACATGCAGAATTACCCACCACTGACTGAGAGGGAGACTTTCGAGGCCCTGAGTACTTAACTATGGTATACTTCAAACTTGCTATATAAATGAAGTATTCTATGGTCAGTCATACCTTCCTCCGAAAGCATCTTGTTCCAAGCCAGGCATAGTAGAACTGGCCTGTCATCCCAGCACTTAGAGGGTAGAAGCAAAAGGAGCAGGAATTCAAGGTCAACCTGGGATACACAGTTAAGACACTGTCTTATTAAATGAAACAGGAGCTGGAGGATAAGACTGTTCACTACTCTTGCAGAGGAGCAAAGTTTGGTTCCTCTCACCCACACTGGGTGGCTCACAGCCAACTGTAACTCCATCTCTGCACTCTGTGAGCATCTGTACTCATATGTGCACATACCCACCTGTTCCATCACATACACATAATTAAAACAAGGTAAGTCTAATAAACAAGCAAGCAAACAAAGCATCTCGGTCTTGACTTGTCATTGGATGCCCTAGAAATCCATTGTGGTTTCAAGATCACTGGAAACCACATCACATCAAGATCACCTTGGGTCACATGAGGGACCTTACTCTAGAAATCCTATTGAGGTGAATATGATATAACCAATCTGAGATGAATGCCCATAGGACATGGAACGGCACACTTTAGTGTGCTGGTGAATCGTGAATAAACTGTTATTATTTCTCTGTAAAGATTTATATTACATGAGAAAGTGATCACACAAACCTCACATAGACTGGTCATGCGCACACTGTGTATGTGTTCATATCTATGCATTTGGGGTGGTGTATGTAGCACACCGTTAAAAAGTAGAAATAGGTGAGTCTAGAAGGGAGGCAATGAACCCAGTGGCTATAAACCCAACTCCGGGTCAACCTGTGAAGTATGTCTGAGAGTCAGTATAGGTTTTCACTTTGAAGACAGTATTAGTATTAATTAAATTGACAAATAAGACGTATTTCATGGGATTACTTCCAAATTCTTTGTTTATTAAACTTAGTAGACATTAAGTTAGTATTTTCATTTTGGATAAAACCCCTCAAGTATGCACCATGACTGAAAATATAATCTAAATATAAAGCACTCTGGTACTCCATGCCATCCTTATAACTTAACACCACACTGAATGCAACAGCTTCATAAAGTGAATTCTTAAAAACACATGACCGACTCTTCTCCTGGATCGTGGTGGTCTCCATGTCCTGCTTTCAGTCACATCTAGGCTTTCTGTTTCTCACCCCTTGCCCGCGTGGGTCTCCGCGAGCCATAGCACTTGGTGGTAATAGCACCAGAGGCAATAACACGAAGGGATGGGCAGCCACCCCCTCCTCCTTCCTGAAGACTGTGAAGCAGCCACCGCTGAATAAGATGGCTTTGGAACTCACAGCCATGGCAGAACCGAGTAAATGCAGAGAGGACACCAAATCAAGCCAGGATATCTAACAACAAGAGTGACCGCTCATAAAGACTCCATGTTGTACAGAGATAGCATCTAGCAGAGTGGGTCCCCGGTGTGGATGAGTGCCACCCAGTCCTCTTTCATCCGTAAGCCACTGGAGCACTGGAAAGCTCTGTCTCCGTGTGTATGAAGATGGCAGCGGGGTGGTGGGGTTCTTCTCCCCATCCCAACCACAGTGTGAGCCAGGACACAGGTGCCTCACCTGGAGAAAACTACCACAGATTTGCTTATCTCTCCTGTGGCACTGACCACATCATAGCTGCCCTCTGCACTGCTCCCCTGACTGCCTGGAACAGGAGGCTTTTCTGATTTTCCCAACTGGACCAGTCTACTCCGAGGGTTAAGCAGCAGGCTGTAATCCGAGTCACCAAACCAAGCATATGGCACACCTCTTTGCTCAACAAGTGAAAACTGGTGCTAGTAAACACAATTTAAATCACTTTGAAGCTTTGCAGACACCTCTCTACTCAACTTACCCGGAAGTGTTGATTGGCATTAAGGCTGGAACAATGATTGAGCTGAACCTTGCATCTTGTCTTATGTACATACCAATACCCATATCTTTTCTGTATTAATACACAGGGTCTTGACAGCAGTCCCAAGCCAACTCTTCACTGGATTCCAGTGCAGAAAACTTGGAGTATGGAAGGGGTTCGGAGAAATAAGAGAAGCCATGGCAGAGAAAGCTGCAGCCTGACATTTTTCTCTTTAAAACTCAGCTACATACAGAAGTGGGGGGACAGAGGTAAGAGGCTAGCAACCACCCTTGCTGCCACTCCTAAACACACTAGCTCCAACTCTCTGCAGACTTAAAGTGCAATCACTGCTATGAAGCTCTCAGGCCAGGGATCAGGAGGGAAGAAATTCAGAGCTGAAACTTCAAACCCACTGCCCATGACTCAGAGGCTGGAAGAGGGAACAGGGGTAAGGCAATGGCAGATCTCAGGCATTCAAGTGCATCAAAAGAATCAACGTCCTTTCTCTGTGTGAAGAACAGTCATAAACGGTAAAGAGTCTAGGTTTAGAAAATATCTCCTATCGGAGGATGCTCCAATGTGGTAGAGTCCAAAGGCAGGCAAAGGCAGTAAGCAGCAGGGGCCCAGCTGTCCTCCCCGCTGCCCTGCCAAACAGATGGGCTCGACTGTCTTCCAAGTCTTCAGCTCTCGGTGAGGACGAGGCACACTGGACCAAGGGCATCTGGTAGGATGTTGCCCTCTTCTCGGGCCTGTCTGGGCTGGAGCCATCACTGGGCCTCTGGCCATTGAACAGCAGGTAGCGGCCACGGGCATCTTGCTCCATTTTGAAGATCTCATATTCTGTGTGAGGTAGTTTGATGCCCAGAGCCACACAGCCATTGGTGTGTGTCACGTCCTGTTGGATACCCACTTGCCAGGAGCCCTCAGCCCCACACTCATTTCCACTAAAGACATTGAGGAGGGAGGCTGTGGCTGCATCCATGGGAGTGACCTTCATGTGATTCACTGTGGAAAAGAGAGATATCTATGACTGTAGGGAGACAACTTGGGAGGCAGACGCTTCCAGCAAATGCTGGGGACACTGTCTCAACAAAGCTTTCATTTCAAAACACAATTCATAGCGTGCCCACTAACCACAGTAATCACAAGAGCAGGCTTGGGTAGGAAGTTTCACACGCTGATCAGAATGGTCATAGGGAATAGAGCCAGCCAGCTCATAGTATCATGCACCCTGCAGTCACAACTTAACTACACAGCCTAATGGTACTACATTAGGTATCCGAAGTAATCTAGAAATGGTGTAAAATACAAGGAGTATGTGTACAGGTTTTGTGCAAGTGTCCTCATTTTACACAAGGGACTAGAGTAACTTTGGATTTGGGTATCTTCAGGGAGTCCAGGAATTAATCCCCCATGAATACAAAGGAATGGCAGTATACTGTAGGTGGGGTCAGAAAACATGGATGACATTCGGTTAGCCCAGTTTGCAGCTGATCACACCCACAAGTGTGAAATAAAACTATCCCCGCATTCCCACAAAGTGCTCTTTAGGACAAATGACTCCCAAAAAATATTCAACAAAACTCATTGAATTTTATTTTTATGGAAAGGTCCTGAAGGACCCAAAAGGTTTCACCTCAAACGTGTCTGAATTAGCATTTTCACAGATTAATGTGGGCCCATCAGCTGGGCATCTAAATGCAGTTAGGCTGCAAATAAGAAAAATATGAAGAAATAAATACAAGCTCCAGCCTTTGTGGACCCTTGGGGCCCTCCTATGGGACTACACTTTGCATATAACCAAGTGGGATTTGGGGTGAGCAGACAGATTTTTCTTGGTTAAGTTTACAAGGCCAGTGTACAAGAGCAAAGTTCCTCATTCAAAGGAGGGTGGCCATGCTCAGGGATTCCTTTGAGGCCACACAGACACCTCACACTAACTGGACCACAGTGCTACCCTGGAGTGGTTACCCAATGACCCAGCTATGCTCATTATTTGCTATTACAGGGTTGGCACCACCTTACAGACATTCGAACTTAAAACTAAAGCAGCAAGACCTCCCTTGTGGTAGGGGCAGGTGCCTCCCGACCCCTAGCTTCCTTGTCTGGGTGAGCAGTGCACAGCATGAACTTTCCCCCATGATGCTCTCGCCTTCAAGCCTGGGACAAGCTCTTGTGTGCAGCCTCAGCTCAGGTTGGCAGTAACAACTCTGAGCATCAAGAAGTAACTACATCAGCTCTGTAGTCCTCATTCAGGAAAAGTACCCAGCATACAAATAAGCCTGATGCTACCAGAGGCCGTCAGGTTTCACTGCGGTCACATTCTTAACTGTCACATTACAGTGGCCCATGTGATGGTCTGGGTCCTGTGGTAGAATACTATTTGAAGGTGTGTTACTTTTGTTTAACTCTGTGAAGCTGTGTTACTGCTGTGCCTGTCTCAAACACCTGAAGGTCTAATAAAGAACTGAAAGGCCAATAGTGAGGCAGGACAAAGGATAGGCAGGTGGGGCTGGCAGACAGAGAGAATACATATCGAAGGAGAAATCTGGAAGAGGAGGAAGAAGTAGCCAGAGAAGGAGGAGGACATCAGGAGCCAGCCACCCAGCTACACAACCAGCAACAGAGTAAGAAGGAAAGGTACACAAAAATAGAGAAAGGTAAAAGCCCAGAGCCAAAAGACAGACGGGTTAATTTAAAGTTAAGAAAAGCTGGCAAGAAACAAGCCAAGCTAAGGCCAGGCATTTATAAGTAATAATAATCCTCTGTGTGATTTATTTGGGAGCTGGGTGGCGGCCCCCCAAAAGAGCAACAACAAACAACAGCAGGGTCCCATTGTACCTGAGTGTCACGTGGATGCCTGGGTCTAGCCTGCTTTGAGCAGAAAGGAGCTCAAATGATGTTTCCAAGGATGCTTTAAGGCAGCCCTGGCTCTAACTTCATCCCTAGCATCTCAAGCAACAAAGATACCCTTCCTTCTGAGGTTCTGCCCTAACAGAAATGTCCCAGAGCTGCCCTTGAGCTGTGCTGTAAGAAGAAGAGGCAGTAGACTTACCTTTGAACACAAACTCTGTGCCACCCATGACCCTTGAGGAGAGCACACCGCGGCTGTAGCGGCCTCGAGCATAGATGGTGAATGTGGGGTGTTTGCAGACAGGGTCTGAGTAGTGGTAGTAATGTCCTTCCCAGGTGTTGTTGTTGTCATGGAAGATGAAGTGGCGGGTGAGGAAGAGGACTTCGGGGCGCACCTCACAGCGCTGGCTCACCCATTCCCCATGCAGGCCAATGGTCAGGTCAGCCTTAGGGGGCAGGATGGGAGGGTGGTGTTCGTCAGAGCGGTAAATGATCCGACAGGCTATGCAGGCATGGTTGTGGTTCTGAAGCAAAGAAACAAAGACATTACAGACTTTAGTCTTCCCATGAGCTCAGTATGCATGTATATCCCTGAAAAATGGGGGTTCAACACGGTTAGGACTGGGCACTCAGGGCACCATCACTTAACCCCAAAAACAAATGAAGCCAGTCTCTGGTACCCAGACAGTGGAGCACGGGGTGTGCCAGAATGTACAGTCCAGCTGTAATAGGACAGCCTGCCTTAATGTCAGCTATGGCATGGGCTCTTTAGAATCCTATTTGGGTTTGGACTCTTTAGAATCCTATTTGGGTTTCAGACCATGGGCTGGCGCTCAATTTTGGAAAGGATGGTAAATGCCTCACATTCCATAGGCTGGGACCAACACAAATCCAGAGAATATGTGTTGGTGAGGATGTGGAGAGATCCCAATACTTTGGTCCTGTTTTCAGGAACATACAATGATAACAGCCTTCATTGACAAGAGTGGTTTGGTTCCTCAAAAGCTTGAACATAGAACTGCTGTATGATCCAGATTTTGCCTCTTCAATACACATCCAGAAGAATTTAAAGCAAGGGCTCTGGCCCACAGTAGCCACAAGGAAAGCAATCCAACTGCACAGTCATAAGGGTATGGTGAAGCACACTATGGTCTGTATATACGATGGCAGAGATCTCAGCTTTAATAGGGAGGATGCTCTGCATAGGCCACAGCATGATGAACCTTGAGGACACTGTGCTAAATGAAATACGCCAGTCATGCAGACATACACATTGTTTAATTCCATTCACTTGAGGAACGTGGAGTAGTAAAATCCAGAGACAGGAGGTGGGAGGGTGACTTTGAGGGACGAGAAGGGAGGTAGAGATGGAGAGTCCAGGTATAATGGGCAGAACTTCAGTTTTATAAGGTGAAGAATTCTGGATATGAACAGTGGTGAAGGCTATTCAATGTTATGAATGTAACTTGTACTATTAACTATACCCTTAAAATGCATACCTATGAAACAGATTTATGAGTATATTTCAGCACAATTACATTTTAAAATAATTTTTAATGTATTTATTTATATTTTATGTATGAGTGCTCTACATGTATTCTGGCATGCCAGAAGAGGGCATCAGATCCTATTATAGATGGTTGTGAGCCACCATGTGGTTGATGGGAATTGAACTCAGGACCTCTGGAAGAGCAGTCAGTGCTCTTAACCACTGTGACATCTCTCCAGCCCCACAATTAAATTTTTAAAGGCAGGAACTGCAAAATACACTAAGGAAAACAAGGCTGTGACTACAGATGAGAGGAACTGCTGGGTTCCTCTGATATAGGGAATGCAGGAGGTAGAGGAAGCAGACAGAATGGAGTGAGGAGGCCTCTGGGACATGTGTACAGGCTGTCCATGTGTGCCTGGAGCCCAGGGTTCAGAGCTTCTTAGCTCTTGAAAAGCTTGCTTTTCCAACTTTCTGCAGCTTAGGGTCCACAGTGAAGCTGTGCTCTCATTTCCAAGAGGCATGCCCTGGGGAGTATTTTGGTTGGTGCCCATGTCATAGATGTCAGCCCTGATTACCCTGCTTGCCTTCAGAGCTGGAAACCCAAATCTCTGCCTGGAGAATGGGTCCTGGGCACAACACCATGAGCCTGCCACCTACTCCAACCAACAGGACAACTCTAACCCAGGGGTCTTCTCCATGTTTTTGTTCTCCTCAAAGTTGGAACAAGGCCCAGGGGGTGAACATAGCATGGACCACAGCCTTGGATCTCTGCCCTCTGATCATGGAGACATAGCTCACTGGGACATGCAGCCCCACACTCCCAGCCCATATGTATCCAGGCCTACAATCACACCGTCACCCCTCCCAGGGCAGGGAAACACTTGTTCTTAGCAAGTCACAATCCACCTCCTTCACCAAGGTAGGCTTGTCATCATACATGTGACTTAGTAATGGTGACAAGCTTGCCTTTCTGGAAGACTGTGGTGAGGATGGGAGGGGAGGTGTCTTTCACTTGCTTCTTCCACACCCCCATTAAGGGGGAACCCTGTACTCACTTGACCCTCTTCATCCATTAGATGAGCTTAGTTACAACTTATAGAAGAGGATGCTTTCTTTGTCCCGGTGATATGTGGCTTGTAGATGGTGAGGTAAGTAGGGGTGAAGAGTTAAGGGGAAGGCCAACTCTTCCCTGTCTCAGGGTCCAGGTGCATTTGCTGGCCTGGGGTTTCCTGCAGAGGACTTTCAGGCATGCAGGATAATATGAATTGTGTCCAGCCTATGATCAGCAGACCACAGGGAGATAACAGGAACACAGCCCATCAGAACCAGTGCTGAGTTAGAGCAGACAAGAGTGGCTCTGGCCAGATCCTGAAGGCCTAAGCTAGCCCCACTGCCTGCCTCATAGCTGGTGGCCATGACAACTTATTTATTTTTCTCTGCTTCAACGTCCTCACTTACAGTGGTGACTATTGAAAACACACTTGCCTAACTGCTGCAGGTGAGAAATGGTAGAGCGAGGTAGTTCCCACTCAGTGCTCCCATCTGAGGAGGCCAAGGCAATGGCCTGTCTACCTACCTGCATGTGTCACAGTCCTTTGGGTTCACAGTAGAGAGGAAAGTATAAACTGAAGTAAAGGAGAACTCACGTCCTGAGATCTCACATGCTATGTCCTCTCAGTAAGCTGCTAGGAGGGGAAGGTTCCACAGCTGTCACCCTAAACGGGTTGCTCTGACATTTAAAGTCCAGGATGGAATGTTTACTTGGCGTCTATAGCCAAGTATACTCTGGGGCTCCTGCACAGAGTAGAGTATGCTAGAATAATTACCACAATCAGCATGAAGCTGATTCACAATGACACCGAGGCCCTGTCCAAGCATGACAGTCTAAAGCACCAGCAGGTGGCCTGCCACATTCCAGAGAGAAGAGGCATCAGAAGCTGATGTTCAGTCAGGGTCAGAAATATGGACCCACAGGGTCTCCAGTGGTCTGCACAGAGCTGGGTCCCCTCCTTGCTGGCATCTCCACAGCAAAGATGCTTGCTGCCTACTGCTCCTGCTCCCCAGAAGGTCCTACAAGGCTCAGTGGGCCAAATCACTTACTTTCATCCATCCCAACCTCCACTTCTTCTCCATCCCACTCTCCATAACTTGAATTTCTACATCTACTGGGAATTTAGGAATATCCACCATGCATCCTTCACTTCTGGCCATTCTAGGAAGTTAAGTCTCAATCCCCGAAAAGACAAGACTTCCCCTTCAGTACCAGTAATGGTTCAGGGAAAGCACGATGCTGATGGGAAAACATTAAAGATCAATGCTGTTCAATTCAGGAGGAAAAGGCTGGGCAAGGCGAGGGCAAAGTTGTCACCCAGGCTACTCCACCATGGTACCATGAGTGGTAGGTTGGATGTCCACAAGGAACACTTTTTTAAGAAGAGGAGGCAGGGGTTCTGGGGCTCCAAGATGATTCCACTGGCCTATAGTCCCTTCAGATGAATGGTGTCCCTAGATAAAAATGGTGTCCCTATAAAAAAGCAGGCTGGGCTTGTTTGAACCAGCAGGCCTATGGGATCTGGGTTTATGTGCAGTGACCAGAAGGAACCTGGCTCGTAAGCACTAGTATTATAAATTCTTACACTGGTTGTCTTTGTTTTACTGTATTTTTTTTTAAGGTTACAGAACTGATCATCTTAGTAAATTTTAAGTGCACAGTTCTGTGGCATTAAGTATAGTCACATGGTTAGGTGGCCATCACTACTGTCTATCTCTAGAACCTTCTCATCTTCCCTAACTGAAATGACCTTCCATCCCTCCCTTTCCCAGCCCCTGGCAACCACCCTTCTACCTTCTGTCTTAGAATCTGACTAAGGACCTCCTATAAGGTATTTGTCATTTTGTGACTGGCCAATGTCACTAGAAAATGTATTCTAGGTTCACCCATGTTGTAGCATGTTTCAGAAAGCCCTTCCTTTTAAGGCCTAATCATTCCATGCAGAGACACATTTTGCTTATCAGTTACTCTGTTCATAGACACTTAGACTGCGTCCCACCTTTTCCCTGTTGTGAATACGGTTGAAGGACTATGTATGTGTATTTCTCTTTCAATCTTTTTGAGGATATACCTGGATGTAAAATAGCCACACCACAGTAATCCAGTGTTTATTTTTTTGAGGAACAAGCCTGTATTCCACAATAGTTGCACCATTTGACATTTCTATCAGCAAACTATAAGAGCTCCAATTCCCCCACATCCTTGCCAACATTTATTTTCCACTTTTTCCCCCTTTGGTAACAGCTGTCCCAATGGGCAACCTGGTATCCTATTGTGGTTTAAATTTATACTTCCTTAACGATTTGATAAAGAGCATACCCGTTATTTCTAAGAATTCTTTAGAGGAAAGTCTGTTTTGCCCACCCCTATCCTTTCTGAAGTCATTCTGCAGTTACCATTAAGCAACCAAAGATGTCCTAAGCAGAGGCAGTGTTTTTGGCCTCCGTGGTTGAGGTCAACAAGGCGACAATTTTAGTCATGGCTGTGTAAGGAGATACTTCTGTTTGTGGATTAAGTTTTAGAAATTGTTTTCTTACAATCTCATACTCTTTGGCATGAATAAAAATTAAAGGGACCTATAGCAATAATTTCACCAAAGCATGGAACAAAACCAGCATGTTGGGTTGCTCTACAACTCCTTTTCTAGGGCGGTTTAATGAGAGAACCTTTAAAGATGAGCGGATGAGAACTACATATGGAGATTTTTTCCAATGAAAGTTGATTTGCACCACTGAGTAGCATTTGCTTTACACTTGAGAAATATCCTTTCCTTAGCTCTCCAACTTGGCTGTGTATGGCTCCGTTTCCCTCCATGTTGGAAAGGGCTATTTAAAGTCAGGGTTTCTATATACACATGATTTGAAAGTTCAAATCAGAGGAGCCAGGAGGTGTTTCCTTGCTGCTATATTTTACATCCACTATAAAAAAAAAAAAAAACTTTACTCTAGGGACCTAGAGTGCTGTGGAGAGGCAGAGTACTT